TTGCCAAATGTATGCAACTTGTTGCATCTTTTGGTGCTACGAAAAACAAGGCCACATTTGTCTTTCTTTCCTTGACAGTACAGCAAGTCTTTCTTTGACAATGCAGTGATTCTTGTCATTGAAAATTGCTGAGACTCACTGGTTTATCAGTTCTGATCTCATTGTTATCAGTAATTACGCGTTCAATATGAACTGCATGAACAATGGTACAATACAACTTGTAGCGCCAGAAAGCAAGTTGTATTTACGACTTAAGCAAGATCATTATATGGAAGGAAGCACCTGAGCCTTTTCCCTGAAATCTCGGGCTGTCAACCTGAGAATGTGGGTTCCAGTCTGAGAGCGGTCACTATGTGCAAAAAATACCAAAGGTTAGGACTGTATCCAGTCCACCCCTACCCATATAGTTGGGACCAACATTGGGTAATATCGTAACAGTGCCCTTAAAACTCTTAAAGATTCTGATCTTGTAAGAATCAAAATACCTTTAAGAAATGCAACAAGTTATCCATATTCCATCAGAGATGCTCAGTGTCAACAAGCAAGCTGTGATTACTAGGATCATGATATTGAATGAATTGCCTGAACTTGTGCTTGAGTGATACCCATCTCCTAGGTGGGTAAATTAACTTTTCCACATATGGGGAAAGTTGTCAACACTTGAAAGGGACAAAAATGCCCTTTTTAATAATGGATTTTTATGGCTAAAATGGTCATTGCCTTATTTACATGAGAAATAAAAGAACATGGGTAAGTGGTAAATGTTTCCCAGGAAAAACTTACCCAGGTAACTGCATTTACCCGGGTAAGTAACTTACCGAAAAACGAAAGGGGCCTAGATGTTGCATTGCCCTTAAAAGTTTTAAACAAATGCAGCAAGTTATTCACAGTGCCATCAGAGATGCTTTTAAAAATACAGACCGATAGGCATTATTTTAATATTAAAATGGCTGATAATTACACAGGAAAAGAAAACTGAAAAAAAGCATGCAGTAGCTTCTATGAGATGGATACTGATGTCATGTCTTTGTTGTGGTCACATGGGGACTTGAATTATAACTCTTCTAACTCAAAATCACTACATTTTCATATGTGGCCTTAGACCTGATAAAAGTGTCAGGGCCTCCTCCATGGATGGTCTATCAGATGGTCTTCTCCTGGTACAGAGCAAAGCAACTTCAAAGACCAGGTTTATTTCCTCCTTCAATGAATTGGCAGTGCTGACTTCATTCTCATTATAAATTTCTCTTAGAATGACCTCTTTTGTTCTGCTGTGTATGTTCTCCCCTCCATTTGTCAGCCTACCATTGGTTAAAATTTCCACAAGGACTTCCCCAAAACTGTAAATATCTCTATGCAGCTCCTCTTTTATGGTAGTGCTCAGATCACCTGGCCACAAAAGATTTAGAACAATTCAGATACCTACAAAAGTGGAGTATAAAAACAAGTACACCAGAATAAAAGGTCCCGAGTTTTGTTAGACAGTCATTATATAAATTAGTATTATTATTATTATTTTTTTATTTTTTATGGTTTGGTTGGAAAAAGAATGAAGAGCTACCTGTCGTTTTATTTTAGACAGTAACTTAACATTTGATGTTGACACAAGGCTGGGAAGGATATTAGAACCAGAAGTAGTAAAACAATATCTATTATTCTTCAACAAAAGCAATTGATCAGGAGTGACATAACTGAAATTATCAAAACACCACTCAGCCATGCCATTTTGTTTCCTATCACCCTTTAAGATTCTATTAGGCTTGGAAAGAATCTTGAGGGTGATATTTCCAAAGGCTTAGTATATGTTGGCAAAAGTTTGTATATTAGTAAACTATAATGGTGAAGTGGTTAATGGTTGAGGTTGTAATAATGATCTGATCACTCAGAATTGGTACTGAATAGAGTGAACTGGTGAAACAGGATTGGTGTATTTCCATCCCATGCTGATAGGATAATGGTTTGCTGAATTAAGTCATGTATGGTTGTAATGGTGGAACAGAAGACTTGCATTTTTAGAACTTATAGTTACCATAAAGGTAAGTAAGAGAACAAGAAATCAGAATTATGTACCTGTGCCTGATGCTGAAAAAGCTCCAGTTATCCTCTCTACGAGTGAATTTTCATTCATCTGTACCAATATTTTCAATCCAAAATCAGTCAGATGGGGCTCCATATTTTCATCAAACATTATGTTGCTCGAGTTTAGATCTCCATGGGGAATTGCAGGGTAGCAATCATGGTGAAGGTAGCAGAGGCCCCTTGCAATCCCAATCACAAGTTTGTGTTTAGCTGACCATGTACTAATTATTGGATCCTTTTTAATTTTCATATTTTCTGCCAGATTTCCATTGGGCAAGTAATCATAAAAAAGATAGGCTATATGCTTATTGCTGCAGAACCCCAACAATCTGGTCAGGTTACTGTGCCTTGCATTGCCCATCTGGGTTATAAATTCTGACATCACACCTCTTCTCCCCACACCCCATTCAATCTTCTTCACTGAAACTGTTATCCCTGTGGGAAGAACTGCTTTGCAGATCGAAGCTGATAAGGTTGGCACCCTCTCCATGGATTCTGTGTAACTGAGGCTCCTCAGAACGTCATTTGCTGTGAATTGTGGGAAACCAATAAAAGGAACCATTTCCCATTGGCCTTTACTTCCACGCTGCAAATAAAAGATGACCAAAGTTGACACTGCAAGAACTAAAACCACCCCTACACACAGCAAAATCCATGTAAGCCTTTCTGCACTTTTGCTCCCCAATCCAAAACCAGCTACACCGGAAGTTTCTTTTGAGTAAGGGCAGGGTTTCAGAGGTCCTCCACATAGCTGTGGGTTTCCAGTAAAAGCACTTAAACCCATCAATCTAAAATTCTTTCCAGAAGGGATTGAACCAGACATATCATTGAAGGACACATTTAGAAGTACTAGGCTTGAAGAATTTCCAAACATGAAAGGTATGCGACCTTTGATCTCATTATGTGATAGGTCTAAGACATTGAGAGTTGGAAGACTTGCAAGCTCAACTGGTATATAACCTGTCAAATTATTGTTAGACAAATCCATCGTCATAATAGCCCGGCAGTTGGCCAGACTTTCTGGCACACTCCCTGATAAATTATTGCCATTCAGTTCAAGTACAGAAAGGGAGTTGCAAGATCCGAATGGAGGCAACGTTCCTGAAATATTGCAGGAGGATGCTGAGAAGTTTTGAAGAAGCGGAAGAGACCATATTTTTGTAGGAATTGCACCTCCTAGGCCTGGATTCTGAGAGACATTGAAGTACTGAAGTTTGGAAGCTTGATATATGTCTTGGGGGATCCCACCTGTAAACCTGTTTCTAGAGATGTCTATATAGGTGATATCAGGAAGGAGGCCAAATTTTAAGGGGATCTCACCAGAGAAGGAGTTATCCTCAACCCGGAGACGGACAAGAGCAGAGCAGTTTGAAAGAGCAGGATAAAGCCCACCTGTAAGATTATTTGAGAATAGGATCAGCTTATACAACATACCTCCGGCACAGATATCTGGTGGAATACCCCCTGTGAAACGATTTGTAGAAATATCAACCCATTTAAGTTTGGAGTTCTTGCCCAAGCTCGGTGGCAGTGGTCCAGAGAAGAAATTGTTCCATATTAAAAGAGTTTCTAGGAATGGAAGATCTGCAATTCCTTCGGGGACTGAGCCACTCATGTCATTATACATGAGGCTAAGTAGACGAAGATTTCTCAACTCTGCAAAGCTGTGTGGAATGGACCCAGAAATTTGGTTGTCAGAGAGATCTAAGCTCATGAGAGGCACAATATTGCCAAAGCACAATGGGATTGGTCCAGTGAGTTGGTTCCTGAACAGGAACAGCGATTGAAGGTTGGTGAGACTGCAGAGGCGATCTGGGATTGGACCAGAGAGGTTAGCGCCAGCAATGTCAAGATACTGAAGCCCGCTCATGTTTCCCAATTGCCATGGGATATTTCCCTGGTAGGCATTGTAGCCAATCTCCATATGCGTCACTGTTTTGAGCATCCCCAGTTCCGGAGGGATTTCACCATCCAGATAATTTCCTGCAAGATGAAGCAGCTCCAGTTTCTTGAAAGACCCATACTCTGATGGGATTGAACCCTCGAAGTAACTACCAGCTAGATTGAGTACCTTGAGCGACTCCAGCTGTGAGACCTCCCGTGGCAGGGGGCCTGAGAAGCTATTACTGAAGGCGTCAAGAACCACCAGGTGCTGCACAGCGGAAACCCCAGCAGGGAAGCGGCCACTGAAATTGTTTCTACTTATATCTAAGCTTCTAAGATTGGTGAGGTTGAATATTTCAGCCGGAAGATGCCCAGAGAAGGAGTTGTGACTAAGGTTGAGGTCCACCAGATAGACCAGCAGCTCAATGTGCTTGCCGGATATTACACCGGAGAGATTCTTCTTCGACAGGTCCAACCCAACAATCATGCTAGAGTTCTTGGTGCAGGTGACCCCAGACCAAGAGCAAGCATGTATTGTGTCGGATGAGCTCCAGCCAGAGGGAAGCAACCAGTCATACAAACTGTTCGAACCATCTACAAGCTCGGATTTCAGCCCCAGCAGCGCCTCCGAGAAGACATCAACAGCTGAAACTGCTGTCGTAAGCGATAGAAGAGAGACGAGGAAACACCAGATGAAGCTCCAGAATTTCACCATTGGAACTGGTATTGTACAAGAGGTATTCGAAAGATTATCGAAGCATAAGCAGAGGGAGACACGGACACTCCGGTGGAACAAAAAGTTTGTGCAAGTTTTATAATAGGGTGTACTGCATGGGGACTGGAGAAAGTTCATCAAATGGACCAAATGACGTCGTAGGATTTGGGTTGATAGAGAACATAATTGATCTGCTTTTGAGTGCACCAGCAAGAGGGGACCAGTGGGTGATAGTTTATTTGGATGGTGCTGGCCACTAGGGGAGAATCTTCAAGTTTATGCCATCATCTGCAGCTCCTTTTCCTCTCCCTTTTCACTGGAGAGAAAGAATCCCATGATTTTAGCAGAGATGGGTTTTGAATGGGAAACAGTGAAAGTGTGAGAATTCTATGATTCTATCATTTGCAGGAGAATGCATCAGACGGTTCTCTTTCTTTGACTTTGCTGTTATGGTCCATCTTGCTTGTGAAGTGGGACCCTCCAGAAGATCTATGATGGGGAGAGGACTGGCACATGGGCTGCCATCATGAGTATATTCATCTAATCAATGATCTGTCAGGTGGGATCCCATCAAACAGTTGGTCTTGCTCGACTGTGGCAGTAGGTTGACCTACAGAACACAAGTTGGCACTAGTGCCTGGTTTTATGCATGGGCTGCATGGATTGTGACTAATTAATTTGTGGGGCTGGTCCCGTTCAGGCCCTAGCTTCCATTACATTACAAAATATAAAGGAAAGAAGGCAAGAGTATCGTGTCTTCACGGACAGACGTGTGCAGAGAACCCGTGATATACGTGAGATTCATCAAAGGCTGGGGTGTTAAAGGTGTTTACAGTCTGGTTTTGTGCGGTTTGGAGAAGATATATATGAGCCCCTCTGTTAGCCTCTTAAAATGTTCAACATACCCATAAGTTATTGATATGAATAGCTAATTTGAAAAATAAATCAATTTCAGAAAAGAGATTGGAAGAATTTGAGATAGCGATTTTATGTACAAAGAACTTGGAAAATAAACATTTTGGTCAAAGTAACTGTATGGGTATTTTGAACATTTTTATGCTTTTTTAGAGGATTCTAACAGAAGAGGTCTACTTGTAATTATGTCAGAAAATTAAGGGAAGGTGATTATAATTACCAACACCCAGCGGAGGTTTTAGCAATGGTCTCAAGGATTCAACAATTTACCCTAAATACTAAATATAGTCTTAGTTACGCCACCATAAAAATAAAATCATTGACTCATCGAATTGGTATAATACATAAGCATAAAAAATTGATTAGAACAATTTTAAGACTCCAAGGTCAACTCCATTAATTAACCAAATGACGTAAGTTCAACTTGAATAGAAAGAAAGAGAGAGTTTATTTTTATTATTATATTTATTTATTTATATTTTGGTTTATGGTTTAGTTTCATGGTCATCAATACCATCATCATCCATGCCTTATTCCAACCATATGGGGTCAGTTATATGAATCCTGTTTCGCCAATCCCTTTTATTTAAAATCATATCCACCGTTAAATTATTAGTAATTAAATAATTATTTACTATTTTTGTCTATATACTTTTTGGTCTACCCCTAGCTTAATTCCATCCACTTGTAACAAATCACTTATTCTAATTGGAACCGGGGGCGGAGTCAATTATCTTGGTGGGGGGACTGCCCCTCCCCCCCCACACCAAAAAAAAAAAAACCTTTTATTAAAACCATTATTTATATGTAGTTACTAAGTGGAGGTTGGATCAAAACCTAATAAAGTGGGTTTTTGGCCCCCCAAAGCATCAAGTAAAATATAAAGGACTTCTCTTTAACACTCCAATCTCAAAATAAAAAAAAAAATATTTACTTTTTCTTTAAAAAAATTGTAATAGACCCTATCTCATTTTATTGTTTAACCATTTAATTTGGCCTCCCCAAAAGAAATCCCGACTCCGCCACTGATCGGAACTGTTAGTGGTATTCTACAGTCACTGCCAAACACTCTTCTCAATACAACATAGTTGGTTTACGGTTAGGTGTGATTTCTAAAATTTAGAAAACATAACTGAAACATAAACCGAAATTTAAAAGAATCTTTCGTTTGGCATTGTAGACCCCATAATGAACACCCCTAATCATAAGCACGGAGCCATTCTTTTGGTTGGTCTGTCATTTGTGAAACAATGGCGAGTTGAGATGATTAGAAGGTGGAGATAATCTGATTGGGTTCCTATTGGCCCAGCTGCCCAAAAGGATGGTTTGCCTTCTGTGGTGGGTGGAGCCTACCAATTCAAGCACGGTGGTCCTTTCATTCATGGGTCAAAAGTCATTTTGAACGATTGGATTTGACCGGAAAGAATAAAGGACGTCATAAAATGATAAAGGGTCATGATTCCAGGAGGGAGATGTTGGAGATGATCGGGTCTTTGAAAATGGGGCTCCATTTCAAAACAACGGTACAGATTTGGATCGTACGAGCTCTGAGGGAAACTACAAGTCTACAAAGACTATTAGAGAGAAGAGAAAGGGAAAGCGTAAAGTTCCCCCTACAGATTGGTGAAAAGGACATGCACCGACCGTTGGGGAATGAATCCTTTTAGTGGAAACTAAACACGAACAGAGAGAGAGAGAGAGAGATGTTGATTAAAAAAAATCAAACACCAGCAATACAACAGTGACGATTAATAGTAGTAATTGGAAGAGGGATGGATAAAAGAGTTGCAGAAACACAGCCGTCTCAAAAGAATCAATCAACATAAAGCATAAAGCAGGGGGGACGAAGGCGGAGATGTCTATGCTCTGTTTCTCTGGGGTTGTCTTCCTTCTGATCTTTCCCAGTTTATCAACAAAGTTAAAGAAAAGCGATTAAAGAACTTGGGTAAATACATTTGTCGAGTGTCGACCCAGATTTGGTACCGTTCAAGGGCCAAAAGCCACTGCCTTGGCCAAGAGTGAAGTAAAGTTAATGCTGTTTAGGAGTCTAAATTCAGTCCAAATCGGCTGACTACCTAAACCCCAGAGAAGTACTCAAAAAGTGTGGCGCGTGCAATATAAACCCAGAGGGTGGGGATCAATGTCTGTGGATATTTCTGTATAACAATGTACGTATGAGTACATTTTGTAATCTATCCTAACACTGTTTGACCATTTTTTATGTATCATTTTAGTGAAGATTACTCCTTGGGCTGATGGAAGAAAGGCAACTGGTAATTGTCTTTCTGTCTTGGTTTTTCCTCTGTCTCATGAAAGGATATAAATGGGTTGAGCTTATTGGTTTCCGTCTCCTCCATGTGGGGCACAGAAGCTGTGTTAGCAAGCTAGAGACTCAGAGATGAACGGGTTCTGAGTCTGTTGCAGCAACTGTTGTTAACTCAGTTTCCATTGCTGAAGGGTGGTCGGTTTAGAAGGAAGTGTCGCCGGAAAGCGATTCAAAACTCATTTGGGTAATGGATATCATCTCCCAAAGGAAAAACCTTCTGTGGGAAGTTTCAACTTTCAACCATGGTGGCAACTAGCAGGCACACTCAGGCAGTATATAGTTTCCTACTTTCTTACCTGAGTCGCTAAGGAGTAAAGACAGGGTGGGACCCATGAAACCTCTTGTCTCCTACTGTCTCTTTCTGGGCCCCGCCATGCTGCCTTCCAAAGGAAAGTGGTCTGTCTGCTTAGAATGAGAATCTCTCTCCAGTTCTAAATTCTAATTCGTAGTGGAGTTGGCCAGTGTTGAAATTGCGACTCGTATTTGTGATGTTTGGACCCAAGAAAGAAAAAAGAGTGGTACGTCCAGGAGGAATTGAGTGATTTAGCTCCCTTTAGCTTAATCCTGTAAGGCACAAAATGTGTACGAGAGGCATCATAAGTCATCATAATCAATACTAGGTAAAGATGGTTTACTGCCATCCCCATAACCATAACCACAAATTCCCCAACCAGTACAAGCTAAAAATGTAAAGACTCAATGACAACTTTATTGAATGAACGTGAATTTAAGGTCGTAGATAAGTGAAATTTAACAAGCCTAAGTAACTAAGCTAAGATGTGTTTGGTACCATTATGAGTGTCAAATGGACTGGATTTTGTCCAATCCAATCCAGTCTAACGTGAATCCATTACAAATGCATCAGGTCCAATCCAATGCAATAAACATTTTGAACCATTTTGGACTCTGAACCACCCAACCTGTTCAAAATTATTTTAATTTAGATTGGTTCCAATCCAAACCTGGTCTATTGACACTTATATTTTTATCTTTTCTCAATAGACCAGATATTGGTTCAATCCAATCCACTCCAATATAAATTCATTGCAGATGGACTACATCCAATCCAATCTAATAAATACTTTGGATCATTAAGTTTGGACTACTCCAATTCAATGTCTTATTGGTCTGTCCAAATTGATTTTAATTTGAATGGGTCCAACCCAAAACCAGTCCATTAACATCCCTAGTACCATTACTGTTTTTACTTGAAACGTTTTCAGTTCATAATTACAAATTGGTGAGAGATGTGTGTTGTCACATCACATGTGAAAATTACTTTAGTTACAATGATTAGACTCTACCCATGGGGCAATAAACACCAATTTGATGTTTGTTGAAATAGCCTCTCATAGTGCATTTTCAAAGTATGCCTATTTCAATCATAAATAACCTCAAACAACAATTGTATGCCACTTTATATTGATCGACCTAAAACTTTTTATGTAGAAACAACAATAGTACCAAACACAACCTAAACATTTTACTAATTTATTCTTTACTGATGCTTGCTCTCTAGGCTAGGCTTTCAGTGATCAAACAACTTCATTCTTGTAACTAAAGCACATGAATATTAGGAGATTTCTAATGTGGTGGTTTGCAAACAACCAACCAATGGAGATCATTCCACCTTCTTCATCTCTATGTCAATGCTGTTTTTATCTTCTTGAATAGGGATGAGTCAAGGAAAAGTTGTTAGGAGTGAGGAGATCCTCTGAATTTTCTTAGTGGGTGTTTAAGGGTACAACACAGTACTTCTTGCCAGGTATTAGCATGGTGTCCAGTGCAGTTATGGCCGGGGGCCGGAGGTTACTGAAAAACATGAGTGTGTCCAAGTACGACGCAACATCTTGGGTTTCAAAAGCATGATTTTTTGCTGCAAAATCAGAACGATGATGAAATTCCACATGTTGTTTGTAATACATATGCAGCATAGCCAACTTGACAAGGCCATGATGTAGGGTGGTCATTTTTAGACTGGCTTGCAAATTTCTAGGTTTAGGTCTGGGTTTTGTATTCAGACTACTACTGTCAATTGGTCGGGTTTAACCTGATAATCGATTGGGCCGGATTTGGTTTGA